ACCTCCTGGTAGATGTAAAAAAAAATGTTCCAAGTGTAGAAGAAAATATAATCCCTTATTAAGTTCTAGTTTTGCACCAGAGGAAATTGTGAAGGAAAGCAACCAGAAAGCATACAGTGAAATGCCCAAACCACCTCAATTTTTGATGCAAAGCAGCTCTATCCCATGCTCCAAAGCGTTTCACCTTACCCGGAAGTTCCGATGGTGGAAAAGAGCCTTTAGTCTTAGAGGTAAGTTTATCAGACCTTTGCGCCATGAGCGTGTCTCCATTTAATTGGGCTCGCCCAAAATAACCATATTCCAAGCCCTTTCAGGACCCAGTGGAGTATCTGAACTAAGGTATAGGGCCTGGTAGACTTGCGGGGTGGAACTTGCGGTTAACTCATGCTGTCTGGTTGTAACTCAATAGGAAATGACATCAGCAGATGTCACCAAAAACATCGATACATTCATTTTCTTCTGCTTATCTGGAGTCGGGCTGCAGGGGCAGCAGCCTAAGTTGAGAGGCCCAGATTTCCCTCTCCCCAGCCACTTGGGCCAGCTCCTCTGGGGGAATCCCAAGGTGTTCCCTGCCCTGGTGAGAGACAGTCCATCCAGTGTGTCCTGGGTCTTCCTTTAGGCCTCCTCCCGGTTGGTCGTGCCCGGAAAACCTCACCAGGGAGGCGTCCAGGAGGCATCCTGACCAGATACCCGAGTCATCTCAACTGTCTCCTCTTGATGTGGAGGAGCAGCGAATCTACTCCGAGCCCATCCCGGATAGCCGAGATTCTCACCCTATCTCTAAGGGAGAGCCCAGCCTCTCTGCGGAGAAAACTCATTTCGGCTGCTTGAATCTGCAATCTTGTTCTTTCAGTCAGTACCTAAAGCTCATCACCATAGGTGAGGGTAGGAATGTATATGGACCGGCAAATCTAGAGCTTCACCTTCTTGCTCAGCTCTCTCTTGACCAGACCTGTACAACGTCCGCATCAATGCAGATGCAGCACCAATCCGCCTATCGATCTCGCACTCCAGTTTTCCCTCACTCGTGAACAAGACCCCGAGATATCTAAACTCCTCCACTTGGGGCAGGACCTCATCCCTGACCCGGAGAAGGCATTCTACTCTTTTCCGAATCAAGACCATGGTCTCAGATTTAGAGGAGCTGATTCTCATCCCAGCTACTTCACACTCGGCTCCGAACCGCTCCAGCAAATGCCGAAGATCACATTCTGATGAAACCAACAGGACCACATCATCTGCAAAAAGCAGAGACCTGATTTAACAAAAGTAAGGATTTACTAAAGCAAGTTAGTGAACAGAAAATGGCCATCTCAAGGTTTTACTCGGATGTCCCTCAGCAGGGACCTCACTTACTTTGGTTAAATAAATCAGTTGTTGAACCCCACACTCCTCTGTTTGGTCTCCTTTCTTATTACAGCCCACCACTTCCAGTCTGGGTTGTAACAATCTGCAGACAGATTTCTGAGTATCTCCTCCTTTGGTATACAGATCCTCACTGAGCCAAGTACTGTGAACAAATAGTTTCTCCGTGATATTATCCAGCAAGGTCTTGTTTTTGTCAAAACAAGGGTGAGGTAATGAAAAAATAGAAATATTTCAATAAATTAACATTAAAATTATTTATATGCATAATTAAAATAAAAAAACATGTTTTGAAATATATAAAGTGCACCAAACTTGACTCAGTCCATTCAACAATTCTAAATGGACAATTATGTAACTCATCAATTAATTATTTGAAAGGATAATTTGTCAATTAAATGCTGAAAAAAATAAACAATTCATTAATGAGGCAAGAACTTTTTAAACTTGAGCATACCTACAACCACAAGTCTATTTTTACCTGGTTAAAACCATCTAGCTTATGTGCACTTTTTAAAACACTGCCCAGCAAACATTCGGACGTTTAATGACAGTTGAACGGTCACAACTGTAAAATAATATCACAGGAATTAGGAAAGAATAATGATATCAACTCTATGTGCCTTGGCCGGACTCGAACTTGGATCCTCCAGAGTGAGAGTCACCCGCTCTCACAGCTGAGCTATGACAGCAACTACTAAATCTCAGATTTTTTATAAAGATAGGTGGAGAGTAAAGTGCGGGGTAAACTAACCAATCAGAGGACAGGGAAGATCTGCCACAGGCCACGCCTCCAGAGTGCCAAAAGCCCTCACAGCCGAGCGAGCGGAATTAGAAACCGAGCGCGCAGAGGCTGCCGAGCGTGCAGAGAGGCTGCCGTGCGCGCACGTTTTCCTCTGCCGTGTGCTCGTTGGCAACGCGCGCACGCAGGTTTGTCACTTGTGCACATCCTTGTGCGCTCACAGACACAGTTTGCTCCCTCTCAGTGCACAAATGACCTCTCGCCATGTATATTTTCGCTCGCGAGTCCCGTTCACGCGCGCGCTGCCATGTATATTTTCGCTCGCGAGTCCCGTTCACACGCGCACTGTGGACCCAATGCGCGTGCACGGGTTGTGGCACGGGTCTGACGCGATACTGGTGAAGCAGAATGGGAGGAATAGAAAACAAGCAGTGTTACGCTGCTTTAAAATGTGGCAGATATCTTGCCACAATGCAATAATTCACGGTGCAGATCCGTAAAAAGTAGAGCTCCAATTCACGACAGTTTTGTCCTCACACAGCCACAATCCCGGTCTCCTGAATGGATTCAACTATGACGTACTTTGACAGAATAAAACATTTCATGTTAATGTTCGTGGATGCCTTTTGGGGTGAACAGTGACATCACTCATTGCCAAAGCAGTGGCGATATGCTGACATCTTGGCGATGTCCTGATGAGCTGATTTCGTACGGAGACATAACGGCTGAGAGGACCAAGCCAGCGTTTCTCTTCGTCACTTTTCCCCCTACTTGACATTTCCCTGATGTCTTATAGTGGAAGCACAGCTTAAACTTAAACCTCTTTTCTGACGGATGCAAAATTGCTGCAAAATGTATTTTGCGGCATTTAGCCACTGTTATAGTGGACGGGTTCCTTTTCACTTGCAGCAAAGGTTTTGGTTAACATGGTTTTGTAAGGTTTTGCACACGTACCAGAAGTGAGGGGATGCTATCAGTGGCGTGTCCACATCTTTTAAAATGGGGTGGCCCAGGTGAGGCACAACTTTGTGCATGGGTGGCACCAATGGTTATGCTTTTATTGTTTTACCCCCAAGCCTTTTGTGGACAGTAAAAAGCTTATTTAAAAGTAAATTAGTGTGGTGGCAGCTGGGGTGGCCAATGAGATTCCAAGGGTGGCATGTGCTACCCCAGGCCACTCCCTGGACACGCCCCTGGATGCTATCACTATGTTTTGAGTCTATTTTTTACGCTTGAAAAACAAGCTGCCTTGTCTGGCTTTGCCCTTTGCTTTGGACTTTGGAAATCATCTGTGGTGTTCCAATTCTCCTTTGAATTTGTGACTGTGCGAGACCAGCGACGTGGAACAGTTTTGCTCCCCAGCCCATCTCTCACTCTCTCCCTCTATCCTATGAGTACATTTTTCTTTTAGAGGAGGAACTCATTCTCAGACTAGATGGAGAATTCCACATTTTCCCAGCCTAATTTGTTTTACAACTTTGGTTCTTGAAAAGCCTGAGTTGTTGCAAATACCTGGAACCCATCAGTCGTTTTAGTGCAAACCTTCTAAATTTCTAAAAGAGGTTGTTAATGGATGGTACATTACCTGGATTTGTGTAGTGCCTATAAAGGGTTCTAAACCCTCCAATGTGATTCACAACACAGTTATATACCCATTTACACAAACATTCACACGCTGGTGAGGACGAGTTATGATGTACAGATGCACTGACAGAGGCAAGGCCTGCTGAACGCTGGCACCACCGGTCCCTCCGACCACCAGCAGCAGGCAAGATGGGTTAAGTGTCTTGCCCAAGGACACAACAGCAGCATTCACTGGTCGGAGCCAGGATTAAATCTGCAGCCTTCTGATTACTGGACAATCTGCTATACCTCCTGAGGTACTGCTGTCATAAATTATAAAAAAGTTCAGCTAAAAAGTTTGCACAATTGTAACATGATTGCTGTATTTGTAAAAGTGCATGTGTACAATGTCTTGCTATTTGAGTTATTTATTATTATTTTATTATTTATTATTTATTATTGAGTTAATAATAATACTTATTATTGTTATTATCATTATTATTATTATTATTATTATTATTATTGTTGTTGTTGTTGTTGTTGTTGTTGTTGTTGTTGTTATTGTTATTAAGGGACCTGCCTTTCTGGCAGGGCCCTTATTATTCTTCACCGGAGGATTCGTTGTCTTTATTCTTCTTCTGCAGACCTCACTGCATCTCGAATGACAGAGTGCAACCCCACAAATTTTACATCAAAACGACCCGCTCGGATGTGGGAGGTGTGCTGTTTCTTTTCTAAGCTTTTAGATTAACCATGGCAACATTATTAGCAAAAAAACTTTTAACAATTTCACATTTAGTGTGTGTTCGGTACGTGTGTGTTTATTAAGAGTGTGTTCAGTACGTGTGTGTTCTGTACATGTGTGTTCAGTATGTGTGTGTTCAGTGTATGTGTGTTCATTTAGTGTGTGTTCAGTATGTGTGTGTTCATTTGGTGTGTGTTCAGTTCATGTGTGTTCAGTACGTGTGTGTTCATTTGGTGTGTGTTCAGTACATGTGTGTTCAGTACGTGTGCGTTCAGTACATGTGTGTTCATTAAGTGTGTGTTCAGTACGTGTGTGTTCAGTACATGTGTGTTCAGTATGTGTGTGTTCAGTGCATGTGTGTTCATTTAGTGTGTGTTCAGTACGTGTGTGTTCATTTGGTGTGTGTTCAGTATGTGTGTGTTCAGTTTATGTGTGTTCAGTACGTGTGTGTTCATTTGGTGTGTGTTCAGTACATGTGTGTTCAGTTTGTGTGTGTTCAGTACATGTGTGTTCATTTAGTGTGTGTTCAGTATGTGTGTGTTCAGTACATGTGTGTTCAGTATGTGTGTGTTCAGTGCATGTGTGTTCATTTAGTGTGTGTTCAGTACATGTGTGTTCAGTACGTGTGTGTTCAGCACGTGTGTGTTCAGTACGTGTGTGTTCATTTGGTGTGTGTTCAGTACATGTGTGTTCAGTATGTGTGTGTGTTCATTTAGTGTGTGTTCAGTACTTGTGTGTACATTACGGTGCATGCTGCCGTTCGAGCCACAACTTGCACCCCCACAAATGTTATATCAGAACATGGCCAGCTTGGCTGTGGGAAGTGTGTGACCCCAGCGTCACCCCAATATCATGATTTTGGGCCTATAAAACACAAGGCCAGTCTTGTGCCAGAGGACAGGTTGCTTTTTAAAATTTCTTCAGAAGTGTTCTAGTTTTTAATTATTATCAGTATTATTATTATTGCATATCTAAAGTGACTTGAAGGGCCGATTGAACTTCATGAGAAACGTCTCTAACTTTGGTTTTCAGCAGGTGTGCATCAGAGATTAACGTCTGAAGAATTTGGTAGGAGAACGGTTTGATGGAAGGATAAAAGAGCTCATGGCTTATCTGCATAGACGAGCTGCTTGTATGATCATTGATAAGGGGAACAATTCCACTTGCTCTTTTAGTCTACGCTCAGCTGAAGCCCAAACGAGCTCTGCGATACCATCAATTCAGTCTCAATGACAACCAGCCCTTGCTCATTGGTGAGAGGATTATGTCGGTAATTGATATGCAGTGTGTGGAATTAGGAATATCTAGATAAGTTTAAATAGTCATCTCACCCTGGAGCACGGGCTTAGCTTTAGGCCTCTGTAGCAGTCTCTGGAACATGGTAAATAGTCGGCTTCACCCTTCAGGATCAATATCCAGGTTGTGTCAAGGGCAGCCCGGGTTCCTCTAATGATCAGGAGCAGATTCTTCAAACAGCATTTTCCCTCCACAGTTGTGACTAATTGTGGCATAAATTCACAATCCTTTCATAACGGCCTTCACAGCTTGAGCTTTGTCGTGTGCAATTGCCACCTTGTTCCTATTTTCACCTGCCGTCGCTCTCAATCAAACAAAGAGGTGGGGTGGAAGTTTCCTTTCATGTGTTCAAAGGTGACCGGTGGCAGAGCTTTTTTCCCCTCACAGAAACAATAACTCTTTTTATTGAGAACAAATGTTGACGTTTGAAGGGAGCAGCAGCAGGTGAAGGGAAAGAGAGTGGACCCCCCGCCCCTCATGTGCTTTGGAGACTGCCTCTGGTGCTATTTGACAATGCTGTCGAGTCCCTGGGGGAGCCCACCTGAGAATAAAGTATGCATTCCAATAAATCAGTTCCTAATGAAAGCGCTTGGACGGAGAAAGAAGAAGTTGGCCAGGGGCTACAACATGCATGACTTCCATATACAGTAGGCTGCCTGCCTGAGAGCCAAATGATAATAAGGTGAGTAAAAAAAGAAAATCAAGTCAAGCCATAATGATCTGAAGGAGGACAGCGCTCTAGAATCAGTCTCCATAGCCTTTTTCTTTGCTTTGCATTTATTTCTTTTTAACATTTAGAGCAAAATGATGTGAATTTAAGTGAGAAAATTCTTGTATCAGGTTTAGAAACAGGACAGCCGAGTTGAGGCGGATTTCTACCCTTGGCTGCTTCCCTGGTGGGGGCTAAATATTACGTCCTTGAATTGGGGTGGGGGTCCCATGACATTTGAACAACACTCAAGCTCAGATTCAACTGGAAAATGAAGGATTAGCTTTTAGTCCGGCTCGGAGCAGTGTGTGTGTGTGTGTGTGTGTGTGTGTGTGTGTGTGTGTGTGTGTGTGTGTGTGTGTGTGTGTGTGTGGGTGTGGGTGTGTGGGTGGAAGGAAATATACATTTGACACAAAGGACATCACAATCAAGGCTGTAACTAAGACTGACGTTAAAATGAGACAAAACACATTTAAGTCAGGGTTTAAAAACCTGCATAATAATGACGTGAGAGCTTTGTGTCCAGATTGTTTAATTAACTGTGTCCCATAATAATGCCCAGTCATGATGAAAGGCAGAGGGGGAAAGCCTGTCCGATTAGAGCCCATCACACAGCCCATTGGAGCTGGCAGATGCTTAGATAGACTTCTATGGATCGCCCGATGCTGAACTGTAATGAAGCAGGCAGGGCTGACCCATCCAGAGCCAGGCTAAAAAGCTCAGGGGAAGGCCCCACTGGGAGCCCATAATGCCCGATGCTTCCCTCGCCTGTATTCATCACACTGCAAAATAAATGTGTGGCACAGGGGGACGAGGAGCGAGGGGAACATGGAATCAGCGTGTCGTTTATCCGTATCAAGGTTGTGCATATCTGACCAAGGGAGACTCAACCGGAAATGGGGCCCTAAAGGAAAAAGTGGGTTGTGTAGAATGTCTGTTGGGATTCTGACTGGGAAAAATAAAGAGGAACCTGGATACAAAACAGTAAAAAGAACTCTGAAATACCTGTGTGATAGCTGGTAAAAGAGTTTAATCATTTTCTTTTGGGGGGGAATAACAGATATAACACCCCGCCAGTATATATGTATACCAGCACAAATATTCTTATATACAGTCAGAGATATAAATTAGTAAAAGTACTCCTGATAACAAGATTGTGTAGCTTTTCTTTATCCTCAAATGCCTCTCCAAAGGAAAAAAAAAAACCTCCATTTTATATATATACATACACACACACACACACATATATGTGTGTGTGTGTGTGTGTGTGTGTGTGTGTGTGTGTGTGTGTGTGTGTGTGTGTTTATATTTACAAAACAAACAGAGAATTCCCCACTTTTGCAATACAACTTGCATAAATAATAGGCATCGCTCCACTGTCGTTTTATTAAAAAAATAAATATCAAATGTAGGCTATTCCACTTTGGAAATCCTGGAGTTCACATCAGATCAGCATCACTTCAGAAACAGGTCAAACCTTCTCCACGCGGATACACAAAGTAGTGAAATTATACATACATATATATATATATGTATGTATATATATATATATATATATATATATATATAAAGTACCGTGGCAACTCAGCAAACTAGAGGAACCTGAGAGATAGTATTCACATATTATGGTAACTGGTGAAATTATTCAAATAAAAACAAAAAAAGTCAAATGCGTGTGTGTGTGTGTGTGTGTGTGTGTGTGTGTGTGTGTGTGTGTGTGTGTGTGTGTGTGTGTGTGTGTGTGTGTGTGTGGATGGGGGTTAGCAGCGTTCGTTCTGGTGGCACTACAGATCAGCTTTGGAGTCCAACATAAATAAATAGTGTAAAAATAAGGTTATATGTGTTTAAACTGTTCCTGTTCTCCTGAACTCTAAGCAAGTGTGACACCTACCTGCAGAGAGTGGAAATAGAGAAACAAAACCGTGCCATCAATTCAGAAATCCCAGAAACATTGCACACATGTGTCAGGCTGCTTCCATTAAAAAAAACTACTACTGTAAATGCTTATTAAATTCCCTTCTGCAGAACCGCTGCTGCTGAAAACGTCTCCAGGCGTTATTCAGCTGTTTTGAGGAGAGCGCAGCCACCTGCATGTGGAATTTGAAGATGTGAAGATGCACGAGGCTGCAGAGAAAGCTGGTTTGTTTGCTTTTGGCTGACCCTGTGTAATTATAATTATCCTAAGCTGGAAGATAAGGTTTGGAGCCCACTGCGCGCGCACAAACACGTATCCACTCTCACACAGATAAAGGAAACAGTAAAACATCCTGCTCAAATCTATGGCAACATTTCCGTGCTTATTGGATCTATAAGCTGCCTGTGTGTGTGCGTGCGTGTGTATTTGTGTGTGCGTGTGTGCGTGCGTGAGGCCTTTCTGCGGATTTAGCGCAATTACCTTCAATCTGTTGAGGAATAAAACTCAGCTATAGGAGATCCGGGTGATTTTTATTTTTAAAAGACAGTAGTTAACTCTAAATGGATTATTCCTCTAATTATTTGATCTGATAATTAAACCAAACACAACATGTAGCTTATTGTGCCAAAAAATAAAATAAAATAAAATAAACAAGTTTGAATAAATAAAATGAGTGGGTTAACTCGGTCAGGTTCCCCAGAATCTCCATAGTTAAGGATCTGAACCGGATGCATTTTACTTCCTCTAATAAAGTCAAATACAATTCTTAATACTTTAATACGTCTCCATAAGCGTCCCTCGCAGACGTCATTACGTACCTTTCTTTGCTTCTAAATTAGCGGGTCTGAATTGCTGCTGCTCGACCACTACAATCTGGCTGGGGTGGTTTTTCCCGAGGGGGGAGTCGGGCCTGTGTTTGGGGTGAGCGCCGGCCTCCGCAGCCCGGTGAGAGGAGCCGCTCAGGCCGTCGCCTGCAGCCGCGGCGGCGGCAGCAGCAGCGGCGGCTGCCGCTGCCAGGCTCACTCCGGAGGAGTTAGTGTACCGCAGGATCCCCTGGCCCTGCAGGGGGCTGAAGTTGCCATAGTTTGTGTAATTGCTATAAAAAGAGGAGTAATAAATAGATCTTCCAAGGATGGAAGGGCTCGGGTAAAGGGAGGGGGAACTGGCAGCAGGGGAGGTCGAGGAAGGCGTGGGGGGTGTGAGGAGTCCACCGCTGGAAGAGGAGGAGGAGGGGCAACTGGGGGGCCCCTGGTGCTGCTTTTGGTCCGAGGTTGCGATCTCAGCCAGAGACCACAGTTTGGGTTTGGGGTTCGGACTTGGCCCAGAAGGAGGCCTGCTCTCCAGACAGGAGGACAATTTATTACTGTTGCTATTTGCGAGACTTCGGGCTAGATCCTCGCGCTGGCTGTGGAGGTGATGGAGGTGGTGGTGGTGGTGGTGGTGAGGATGGAGGTGACCGAGAACCGGAGCCTCCACCCCCGTCAGGGGCGACGAGGTGACGGGTTTGGGCGAGAGCTGGAGCCGCCGCTCGTGGCCCTGGTCCTCCCCGTCCTCGATGCATTTGTCGCCCGTTTGGTCGGAGCTCAGCTCGGCCCCGCAGCTGACCTTCTCCCCGTCCGAGTCCGAGTGGTCCGACAGGGTGTCCACGTGCAGGCTGATGCCTGAGACAAGATTAGACAGGTGGAAAACGTTTAAGCCTATGTTGTTAATTGGGTAAGAGACAAAAAGCAAGGAGTGAAAGAGAGAAATTAATTGAGTGAAAGAAGAAAGAAAATAAAAATAAATTAATGATAAAATATAAATGGCTTTAGATTGTTTTATAAAGATTCCAGTTTGTTGTTAATCTGAATAAAGTTGTCTTTACTTAATTATAGGCAGTCACTTGTGGTTTCTAGAAGGACTTATTGAGACTGAGAGCTTGATGCTGGTTTGTCAGTCAAGTAAAATGTTTCTATAAAAGCTCATGCAGCGCGTTTCAGAGCCTTTAATTAAACACGTGCGGCCTATCTGGCCTCTGTTCTAAAGTATTTTATATTTACATTCTCTAATATTCCCTACATGTGTTTTATATTTATAGTGCCTTATATTAATTAATCCAGGGTGTTGCACTCCTCCTCGTTACCTTCATCCTCCGCGGAAGCCTCGCTGTTATCCAGGGTTTTGTCAGAGCGCTCCACCTCCTCCTTCCTCTCCCCGTCCCCGTCCTCCTCGTCCTCGTCCTCGCTCTTATTCCTGGGCGCCCACGTCATCTTGTTCTCCTTCTTGAGTCTCCTCCTGGCGTTGGCGAACCAGGTGGAGACCTGCGTCAGGGTCATCTTGGTGATGATGGCCAACATGATCTTCTCCCCTTTGGTCGGGTACGGGTTCTTCCGGTGCTCCTGGAGCCAGGCCTTCAGGGTGGCCGTCGCGTCCCGGGTGGCATTTTTGCGGTAAGCCGGGTCGTTGAGCTGGAAGGGGTAGCCCGGACCCCCGTATGGAGGGTAACTCAGCGCCCCGGCCATGCCCGGCGTGTGCACATCATAAGGTGACGACTGGAAAAAAGTGCAAACAAATAAAGTTACAAAAAATGTCAAAAGGCATGTAAATAATTATGTGGATAAATTATAAATGATAAAATAAAAGATCTATTTAGTCTTATTTAAATTATATTAAAGTTTAAACAACAATCGCAGTTTTATCTTATAGGGTTTTTATTAACTTGTAGTCACGATGTTGTTTTATTTAATTATTATTATAAAGGAACATGTTGGAACAAGTGAAAGCGGTGGAAAAGTGTCAAATAAACGCGCAGGGATCTTTTATCCCCGTAATCTTTAAATTACACGCGCACGATTAAAGGCGTACAACGCGTTGTTAAAACAAACAAATCAGCATTAGTTCGTATTTTCTTTTGCTTTGATGTTGTAAGTTGTGAAGTAAGGTGTGTGTGTGTGTGTGTGTGAGGGGGGGGGGGGGGGGGGGTTCAATTATGGTTTAAAAGTGCGGGGTGCGTAAAAAGCAGGCCGCGGGAAGCCATGATTTAATGGTTAACTAATGGTTATGATCGTTATCGGATTACCAGATCTGCTGCTCATTTAGCAGTTTAGATAAGGGAATTTTAATTTTGCGCAATCACCCTTTAACTTCCCCCTCTCCTCGGTGACAGCTCAGAGGCAGCACCGGCTAGAGCGGCATTTCAAATCCCATTAGTTAAATCACCTTTTCCCCGGAACGATGGGACATCAACACTGTGAGGAGTCGTGTTTTTCACCTTAAAATTCACTTTATTCGGCAGAGAATTAGGTCTGAGCGCCCTTTCTCTCGCCACCACACCCCGTCCACTCGAGCCATGATTGAGCAGTAATTACAAATATATGGATTTGTTTTTGTTTTCTGGGGGAACTCGCGCGTTTTAGAGCTTGGGTACACTTTACGCAGCTGCTCAGTTGCGCAGCGCCGGCCAAGCCATTAATTATAAGCTCAAACCTAAATGTCCCGTTTAAGCAGAATGATTTTATAGAGGGAAAACCCCAATATAATAATAATAATAATAATAATAATAATAATAATAATAATAATAATAATAATAATACCATAGGGGGTAAATAACTGCGCGCACTTACATGTTTCTAAAATTCACTCAGAGTAACACACGGGAAGATTGGTTTATTTAATGTTTTACCACGTAAGGTGAGAATCCCGCTGCAGGGTCCGTGGTGTAAGACAGCGGACTAGAGAAGCCTGCACCAGCCGAGGCGGAGAACGCAGCCGAGCCGGGGTAGGGACTGAAGGCTGAGCCGGAGGACGACCTCGCCAAGTCCTCATTCCGCGGAGCAGCAAGAGCCGAGGCCCCGTAAGCCGGACACGAATACAGAGACAGAGAGCCAGGGGGCTGGTAGAGGTAACCCTGAGGATAGGACATTGGTGAGTGCGCAGTAGTTCACCGAATCCAAAACAGAAAAAAAGAAAAAAAGGGAATAAAAAAAAGGAAGCGGACAACAGCACCCGGAATATAAACAATCAAGTCAATGATCAGCCGTGCGAACAGTCATCAAACAGTGAAAATAAAAAGGCCTCCCTCCGCAGCCCTCTTACTGGGAAAAAAGCCCCCGAAAGATCTGTTAAAGTGCCCACGTAGAGGTAATGTGGCATGCGTCTTGATCCCCTAGCGTCCGATGTTTTTACTGCGCAGCGCTATGAAGTGAGGAGTTCGGGAGGGAAGGAGCCAGTTGAGTTTCAGACACACACACACGCACACGCACACACACACACTGGCGCGCGCGCGGAGAGCATTGGGGGAAACTAGAACTGTCACTCGGGCTCATCTGAATATCCCATCCCCGCCCCTTTTGGTCCTCCACAGAAATGGAGCCACGGAACAAAACCGACGCTGGAGAGAGAGAGCAGAACTGGAGAGAAGCCGTTTTCTGTCTTTGGGCTTGTGTGGATCTTTCAACCTCATACAAATCAGAGGAACGCATGACCTCTTTAAACCAGTTGCGCGCGCAGATTAACCAACAGTTCCGGGAAAATCCATGTTTATTTTATTTATTTATTTATTTATTTATTTATTTATTTATTTAAGGTCAAGTCAGTTTAGAACTTTTTGCTTTCACTCTTTCTCATTTTTTCTTGCCAATAAAAACACGCAAACCAAAAGCATTTGTGTTAATTAATTTGCGCCACTCAGCAACTGGAGCCCAGCGCGAGAGTGACCTGGACCAGACTCGTGTTCCCATGCAGCTGGTCGTTTAGTCAGTCTATCAGGAATGCTTGAACACTTTTACGGCTACTGATCAGCGCGCGCGCGCGCCCACCCTCCGACAGAGCGCGCTCCGGCCTGCGGGAGGCGTCCTCCACTTAGCGCCTCTAAACTACGCTCATCCCTTGTTTCTACAATCCCATTCATCACTGGCAATAACGCTGCTGGTGGTGGTAAGTGTCGCTTTATGAGGGGCAGTCTTCTCTATTCAACTTAACCACAAACACCACTTCAGAAGTGCGCGCGCGCGGGGTGCATGTGCGCGCACGCTGGTGAACTTGACACTCGTGGTTTTCTCACCTGTTTGTGCTTTTGGGACATTTGTTTCTGTCTCAGTAGACCCGAAGACCAATTTGAGACAAAAAAAAGTAGAAATTAGAATTTGAATCCGTTTTGATCTGCAGCTGTTTATTTATAGCCACGTTGTAACATCACCAAGTAAGTAAATAAATAAATAAATAAATAAAGATTAACGACAGTGGTGTGTGTCTAATTTAAATGAAAACTGCTGTCATATAAATCTATATAAAAGAGAATCCCAACAAAAAAGCAAACAAAAAACTAACACCATAAAAATAATGACCAGGTGCGATTAAATAATTTACAAATAAAATAATGTTGGATCAAAAAAACATGCATTATATTTACATGATGCGGCAGGTAAACAGATACCCGGTTATCATGGAACAACATCTGATGAATATTATAATTACATCATTAAAAGGCTTATTCCAAAATACATGATTTACTTAAAACTTGATTAATAATTCAAATTACAACCTAGAATAGTCAGATGATTTCTAAACACAGCCAACAAATACACACTATTAATCATATTTCTAGCAAATTAAAATCAAATCCAAGTGCTTATAACACATTTAATTAATTTAATGATGGAGAATGTTTTTATTTTTATTTATTTATTTATTTGCATTTGTTTACTTTGGGCTTGCAGTGGTTTCCACGTTTCAGGAAGGACTAATCAATCCCAGCAGAGTAAATGAGTCTTCCTAAAATGGATTGGGTCAAACTGTGGATGAGTAGGACTACCCTTTGATCCACACCAGGGGGCACTGTCTCCTCTGCACACAGGAGATCAGCTGGATGTCCTTTCTGAAACACTGAGTGGTTCTGTGTTGTCTGCAGAAGTCCAAACACGTAAACACGTCATCGTTAGAGAGTGCACGTGCATTTAAACGTCTATGTAAAAGAACGTTGATATTGTAAAAGTGCACTTGTTGGCCCATTAAAGAGCACTTTGAGTGTGTGTGTGTGTGTGTGTGTGTGTGTGTGTGTGTGTGTGTGTGTGTGTGTGTGTGTGTGTGTGTGTGTGTTAATCTCTGCACATTCCAGGTCTCAGTTTCAGACAGACTGCACCTCCAAATGTATTTTAGCCTGTTTGAGCTACAGGAGAAGGGAGAGGAGAGACTGACAGAACAACAGAGAGATGAGGCAGACGGAGGCAGCGACACAGGAAGACAGAGTAGATGGTTCAGGCGGTAAAACGGGGTGATGCAGAGGGACAGAAAAGCCTCAGGTGGGACAGAGGAAAAGCGTGTGTGCCTTTGTGCAGGAAGTCCTCACCTGGATGTAAAGCCAATCAGCCTCAACGTCAACAAAACCGTGACTTCAGCCGAGAGATTCACAGATTTTTATAAATCAAACAATTCAAAACTTAATGTTATCCCAATTCTGTTGTTCTAACTTAATTAGCTTTTGATGAAAACTCTGAAATACATAAAAAAAACTAATTAATGTTAGTTTGAAGGGTTGTAATTCCTCTGATCATCCGCTGCAGCTTCACACCAGATGTAGTAATTAGAACAAGAAAAATGTCGTCTTTCATGAATGACTGAAACAGTTATTGATTTCTCATCTAGTTTCTCCAGCAGACTTACACGCTGAATATTAATGATCAGGCACTGTTGGCTCGTATTGTTATTTGCTGTAAACACACATTGAGGAACACCAATCAGCCATGGCTGAAAAAATAAATGAGTTTTTACTTCCTTTTTGTATTCTTATACATTAAGTTTTGACTTGAAATGGAGATAAGACCATTTTTAAGAGCACTGAGTCACTGTGGCGGAGAACTTGTAAAGAAAAAGTGCATCCACCCTGCAGCCCTGAGGTGCACGGCTAGCGTACAAATTAAAGTCATTGGTGTTTATTTAAAATGTATAAAATCATTGCAGAGTGGGATTAAAGTCTGAGCCCGTTCGTTTGGAGTAAACAAGCTCAGCGACTAGGAGTCGTTATCCAAAAAGTTTTCCTTCCTTAAGCAGCCATTGTCTTGTGGTCTTATCGCTTTTGGGCTCGTTCAAGAGATTTCACTTTGAAATAGGCGTTGTTCTCGTTATTGCTCATCTAATCTCGCATCACTGGAGATGCCATGTGTTCTGCTCGAACCACGTCGGGTTCTGAAACTCCCAAAGGGATCCGTGTTTTATTTTCTGTGGGCTGGCAAAGGAATGTTCAGTATCTCAAACTTGCACCAAGTACAGCAATTGCACAGTGTGTGTGTGTGTGTGTGTGTGTGTGTGTGTGTGTGTGTGTGTAGGAGGACAAACTGCATTGTGATCTTTTTACTGTGCAATTTAAATTTTAACGTCACGCGATCAAAGCAGCTCCTCAAAAATTCTTGAGATCAGTTTACAAAAAGGAAAAGGACGCTGAACATGACTTTGTGTATCCATCAGTGCGTCACACACGCTGCATTTTCATGCAGTTTATCCCCTCCCTTCTTTGTGTTTGTCACGTAAATCTGGTTTTATTGGAGGGAGGGGGTCAGTGAGGAAGGGAGGCATGGCGACAGGCCGTCATTTCTCTTCCCGCCTGGCATCTGCCCACTGCTGCCAGCCTCGCTCTAATCAGCAGCCGTCCATGCGCTTGGCAGCAGAGGGGGTTTGAAATCAGCCCCTTGCCCCGAGTTAAAAACCCTAAGCCCTATCACTTTGTAACCGCCACCTTTAGGGTAACTGAAGCCGGGGTGCCTCTGATGTGCTGGAGTGGAGAACATCAGTTGCTTCAAATACATTCTGCTGCTAGCACCGTTTTCCTTGTTTGTTTACTCCTTTTTTCTCCTTTACATCACCAGAGAGCTCATTCTTTAGGTTCGATTTGTTTAACATGCTGCTAACAGACACGGACGTTGAGGAAAATGGTTCTAAGGGAGGAAAGTGAAGCGGTAAACGGATGGGCTTGAAGTGTAATTCCTCTTGAAAAAACAAAATAACAACAGCACTTGTGGTGAAACACTCCCGTTTCGTGTTTTGCTTTATTCTGACATGCTGTCTGAATTGGTGAGACAAGGCGAACAACTGCCTGTGTCCTGATTCCTAATCTAAACACACACACACACACACACACACACACACACACACACACACACACACACACACACACACACACACACACACACACACACACACACACACACACACACACACACACACACACACACACACACACACACACACACACACAGAGTTGTAAAAGTCTAACATGCTTGGAAAAAAGTTATCCGAAGAGGCCAAAAGACAACAAGGCTTATTAGGGTGCCAAAAAAATTCCTCAGATGTTCATTTGAGAACAAATCATGTGGTGCTTTGCAATAAGCTGGAGGCTTCATTCATCTGCAGGGTGGAGGGAGAATGGTGGGGGGTTAGGTGGAACAAACACAAAGGATGGGCTATGTGGGAAGGAAAGAGAAAGAGGATGGAGAAAAAAAAATCCACAAATTACAGGAATTATGTGCAGCGTGAGTTTCAAACACACAGACATCCATGTGGCCTGATTGATGAACGAAATGAGTCGCCCAAAATCAAACGGGGGAAATAAAGGAGGACACAAAGAGGGGACAATTTGAAATGGACAAACCGTCTCCGGTGGCTCTGCAGCCAAGGGTCGGCCAGATAGGGTTGCCTAGAAAGAGTCTGCTGACAGCCAGTGTCACTGGGCTTTGTAATCATTGTGCTGGACCTGATAGGGTTACTAACGGCTAATCCAGGCTGACCTTGGTTTGGTGCCCTGAAAGAGGATGGCTTTGTACAGTTAGGACAGCTAACAGTACGCTGCTGATGCTGACATATAATGTCTGCATGGGGACTTGCCACCACAGCTCTTTTGTTGTGCTATCGAGTTGCAAGTCCCAGCCACACACACACACACACACACACACACACACACACACACACACACACACACACACACACACACACACACGTTTTTTTCTTTTCATCCAAGTGGAAGAAAGGTGGCATTTAAATTGTCACAGGGGAGAAGGTGGTTGTGTCTGAAGGTTCAGGAGGTCAGCTCTGGTGTTGGTTGGAGTTTAGATGGTTTCAAAACAAATCCTATCATGATGAAATCTCCTGTTGCTGCCACACCAAATGTCCGTGAGTGAGCGCACACGCATGTGTGTGTGTGTGTGTGTGTGTGTGTGTGTGTGTGTGTGTGTGTGTGTGTGTGTGTGTGTGTGTGTGTGTGTGTGACAGA